TACTGTGAATAAAGCTTTACTGGAACATAGCCACACCCTCACTTATATATTGGTTTGAATATGGGTACATTGAAACAGAGACATGTGAATTAGAATACATAAATAAATTAAAAGTAAAAAAAAAAAAATGTGTCCTGTAAAACCTAAAATATTTACTGGAAAAGTTTGTCTTTCCCTGTTTTAGACAAATATCCTGAAGTRTTTATTTATAAAACAACATTTGGGATTTGCTTCAAAATAATCCAGTTTGGGAAGGAATAAAATGTAATTAGAAACCAAGGCTATGAGATGGTAGAAGCACTTGGCTTCATCATCCTAGTGTGTCTGTTTTTATATATGTTGAAAAGTTTCCATGATAACACACTTTTAGGAAAGAAAGTCTGCCCTCCCACAGCCTCCCAACTACTCTAACCCACACCAGGACCTGGCATCTCTGACCCAACAAGGGCAGCACGACAAAGCCACTGCCATTCGTTCCAGTTCTGCATATGTCTGATGATGACTTCTGTCCCAGGCTAACCAGAAAGGCCATGGGCACTGAGAAAGCCCCCCACAGCCGGCCATGCAGTGAGTGCCCCCTCCCCCTGCATCTGGGGTCCAGGGGTATTCTGGAAACTGGGGAGGGAGGGACAGGAGGGCTCTGTGGGAAGAGAAYCCCTTTCTGAGGGTCAGGCAAAATATCAGGGGCCTTTGGTAAGTTTGTCCTTTGCTCCCTGTGCCCCCTGCATCCAGGGCGTGGACCCATGACTTTTCCCCGGGTAATCCCTGTTCCTCTGTGACTTTGGAGTGCTTTGTTGCTTTTTCAGTGCTGGAAAGGAATCCAGGATTTCATGCATGCTAAAGAAGCTCTCTGAGCTATACCCATCCCTTTGTTTGTTTGTTTTTGAGACACAACCTCACTAAGCTACCTAGGCTGCCCCCAAACTTGGATCCTCATGCCTTATCCTTCCGAGTAGCTGGGATTACAAGCATGGGCCACCTTGCCTGGCTTGGGGAAMATTTGAATGTTGACCACTCAGGGTCTTCAGATAGACTCAGAGAAAAGCTTACAAAATGTCAGGCAGTAGCCCAGTCCCTGGGAWGTCTGCATGGTCACTATCAGCATTACCTGCCTTGTTGGGCCACAGAGACCTCCAGTGGGGCCAGGGCCAGGTCTTTGGCTGCTGTGGATATGACCTAAATCCCATTAGAACTATCATTATGATTCTGGAAGTAAACGTAAACCACCTGGTACACTTTTTCCCCCTAAAGACCGTTTCTACCTAGAAGGATTAAAGTTGTTTTCTTGAAATTCCATCTTAAATTCCAGGATTTCCCAAAACTAAGGAAGCAAACAGATAATTAGTGTGGCCCTCTCTCAGTACCACCCCACCTCTCACCCTGTTGTCTGACCTTGGCCATCTGTCTRGGCATCCTGTCCTGTCTCCTGCCCACACCTAGGACACCAAGCCTAACCTCTGCTACTCTTCTTTGTGGCCCATACCTCCCTGATTCCACCCTCACTTTACCCATTTCCCTTAGGAACACTTGGTGGTGTCCAGAGACATTTTTGGTTGTTGCACTGTAGTGGAGGATACGGTGCTATATAGCATCTAGTGGGTAGAGGAACCAATCAGCAGCCTGCAGTGCACAAAGCAGCTCCACCCAAGATTATCTGGCCCCTAATGTCAATAGTGCCAAACTAAAGAGACCCTACCCTAACGCATAAATCTGAGCCAGGTGTGGTGGCATATGCCTGTTAATCCCAGCAGCTTTGGAGGCTGAGGCAGGTGGATTGCAAGTTTGAGACCAGCCTCAGCAACTTAGCAAGGCCTTGTCTCTAAATAAATAAATAAATAGGRCAGGAGAATATAGTTCAGTGGTAGAGTGCCCCTGGATTCAATTGTCAGTACCAATGAGGCTAGGGAAAAAAAAGATACAAAAAATAAAAAGTGCTGTGGATRTGGCTAGGTGTTAAAGTGCCCCTGGGTTCAATCCCCAGAACCAAAAAACAACAACAACAACAAATAATAATAATAATAATAATCATCTGAGCTTGTTGTAGCAGAAGCAGTTGAGAACACAAGCCTGCAGCCAGGCTGCACACACATCAAACGCAGGCTCATCACTCTAGCTAGTGACTTAGCTGGGCCCCAGTTTTCTTCACTGTAAAATGTATTTAGCCTGCAGTTAAATACTACTAAACAGTAGCTGCTATCAGTAGCTCAGGATTTMCAATGCTTTATGTGGTAGGACCCTACCCTCCATTTATGCCCCCCTCCTGCTCCCTAGATTCTGCCAGGTAAGGGGGAGCAATGAACCGAGTAGCCCATTGCCAGAAGGACAAGGGGGGTTCACTCACCCACCGTGGGGACCCAAACACCTGCCCTGATGTGTGTTAGTAACCCTTGGCTCTGCCACCTCCACCCTTTCATGGTGGTTCCTAGTTCCTTTAACTGGTGYAGGATGTGATGAGGATATGGAGGCCCAGGGTCTTCAGGTCAGGAGCCAGGCCAGCAAGGATTGAGGAGTCCCCAGTGCAACTGCTCCAACTGTTGAACCTTGGGCAAGTCTTTCCCCTTTGAGCCTTGTGGTCCTCCTYGCCGTGTTTGAGCCTCAATTTCCTCATCTGTCAAATGCAGGCCTTGTAAGGATCACAGTGCATGTAAAGTCCTGAGCATAGGGTAACCCAAGTGGAGACTGCAGTGGGACAGGTCCCTTAGTCTCTTGTTGCTGTTCATGCTGACTTGAGCTTTTTTTTTTTTTTTTTAATATTTTCTTAGTTGTGATGGACACAATACCTTTATTTTATTTATTTTTATGTGGTACCAGAGATCAAACCCAGTGCCTCACACAGGCTAGGCAAGCACTCTACCAGTGAGCCACAACCCTGGCCCCTGACTTGAGCTTTTTCTGTCAGCATTCAGGATCTGTCCAGCTCACCGATTTTGCCCCTTGGTCACTCCTCCCCAACCCCTTCATCAATTTCTCTGACTCACTCCTATGCACCCAGTCCTCCTGTGTACCCACATCCTCCTTTGATTTACTGCAGAATTTCCCAGCCTACTCTTTCTTGGTAATGCCCCCACCCTAGCTAGAGAACCAGCTGCCTCTGACTTTTCTCCTCAGCCACTCCTCCCTCTCTCTAATCCCTGATTGCTTCTTCACCATTGGTTTAGGGACTTAAGTGTAGAGACTCAAGAGATAAACCAGGCGTGGTTGTGTACACCTATAATCCCAACAGCTCAGGAGGCTGAGGCAGGAAGATTGGGAATTCAAAGCCAGCCTCAGCAAAAAAAAAAAAAAAAAAAAAAATGAGGGGCCAAGCAAGTCAGTGAGACCCTGTCTCTAAATAAAATACAAAATAGGGCTGGGGATGTGACTCAGTGGTCGAGTGCCCCTRARTTCAATCCCYGGTACCAAAAAAAGAAAAAAAGAGAGAGGCTCAGAGATGACTCCAAGTCACCTGGTCTCACTGCTGCCTGACATGAAGACCTTGTGGCAAAGAACAAAGGTAGAGGCTCCTGGAAGCCATTTYTTCAAGGTGCCACCCCACACTGTGGCCTGCACGGAGTACATGGTAATTCTCAAGGCAGGAATGGAAAGGAGGGGCAAGCATTCACCTGCTAGGTGGCCACTTAGGAAGCCCCAATGTCCCTGCAGCCACAGTAGCTGACCAGAGGGGCAGGTTCTAGTCTAATCAAGATGCTGTCTATAGGATCTTACCAGGATGCATCCCATCCCATTACACTGTAACAGCCCCCACTTGACAGCAGCACATAAGGGACCATAGAGAGGGCAAGACCCTGGGGGCTGGGGACGTGGCTCAAGCGGTAGCGCGCTCGCCTGGCATGCGTGCGGCCCGGGTTCGATCCTCAGCACCACATACMAACAAAGATGTTGTGTCCGCCGAAAAGCTAAAAAATAAATATTTTAAAAAAATAGTTAAAAAAAAAAGAGAGAGAGAGAGCGAGCAAGACCCTGCTCAAAGGGTGGCAGGCACTGGATCCAGGACCAAGGCAGGCTGACCTAGAGCCCACAGTCTGCCCACTGCACTGCTGCCTGAGAGAACACTACTGTTCTCATTCCATAGAGGGGAAATTAAGGCTGGAATGGTATATGGGAAGGGAAATGGAGCCAGCAGGGGCCCTGCAGGCACAGCCATAGCTAACAGAGGGAAGGAYTCAGGAGAAAGGAGGTCTGGCCCAGGCACATGAAGCCCCAAGACAAGAAAAACCCTTGGTCCCCCTGCCCCAAGAGTCCAGGAGCAGAGAGCAYAGGGGAAGTAGAAACAGGGACCTGGTAACTAGGATGGGGCAGGCTCAGGGGGCAGTCCCCACCCTCAGCATGGTTACCTGAATACCAATTTATCAGAAAATAGAGTGAGTTACTTCCTCCCAACCCCTTTCCTCCTTGGGGAAAAGCCTCTGTTAGTCTCTGACATCTGAGATTCCAAACAAGCAGTTTCATTTCCCCAGCCCAAAGAAAGGGAGGGTGTGGCCAGCTAGTTTAAGAAGAGAGAGGGGCAGCAGASCCAGCTAGTCCTCAGAGAACTGAAGGTAGAGCTACAGAGGCTGGTGTCAGGGTATGGAGAGAGGAGCCTGCAGAGACCTGGACTGAGAGGGAGAGAGGGGAGGACAATGAGAAACAAGAGACTGTCAGATGAGAAGACAGAGAAGGAGGGCAAAGAGAAGAAACAGCGGGAAAGAGGGGCAGAAACYGGGAGATAAGAGCAGAGGCAGGCAGGCAGGAGAAGGAGGGCCAAGTCAGGGGACACACAAGCCCAGAGAGAAAGACGGCTGCAGGGCAAGGGCTTAGCCAGGCACTCCACAGGGAGACAGTCAGGCTTGGGAGAACACAGGCTCTGGTCACAGTGGCCCCTGCTTTTCTTCCACCCCAGACAGCATCTCCCACCTGAGAGTCATGGCCCAGCTGGGTAAGTAAGCAGGGGAGGGGCCATGGGACAAGCGGGGCAGAATCCTGCCCCCATGTGTGCACTGACCCTTTCCTCCTGTTCTCAGCCCTGCGCCTCCTCACCCTTGTGCCACTCCTCCTCAGTCTGGCAGCCTCCCTGGACTGGAAGGTGGCCTTCAGCCAGGACCCCTTTGAGAAATGCATGCACGATCCTGACTACGAGCAGCTGCTCAAGGTGGTGACCTTGGGCCTCAATCGGACCTTGAAGCCCCAGAAAGTGATTGTAGTTGGTGCTGGCGTGGCTGGGCTGGTGGCYGCCAAGGTGCTCGGCAATGCTGGACACAAGGTGAGAAGTGCTTTTTACAGTCTCCCTGGGAGTCCTGGGTGGAGGACACCATATCCTACCTGTGTAGGCAGAGTGGTGGGGGTAGAAAGAGACCTATTCTTTCTCCTGAAACCCCTGCTCTAACATGTTTGTCCTGAGAGATCTTTGACGTGCCCAGTCCCACTCCTCAGTCTTTTTTTCTTCTTTTTTTTTTTTTTCGTACTGGTACTTTCCAGTCCAGGGAGGTTGCCAGACKGAACTCAGGGGTACCCAACCACTAAGCCACATTCCCAGCCCTTTTTTGTATATTTTTTAGAGAGAGAGTCTCATTGAGTTGCTTAGTGCCTCACCATTGCAGAGGCTGGCTTTGAACTTGCAATTCTATCTCAGCCTCCCGAGCCAGTGGGATTACACGCATGAGCCACTGTACCTTGCTTAAATCACTCTTTTGGTTGTTGGTTTTTTGTTTTTTGGTACTAGGGATTGAACCCAGGGGCACTTAACCACTAAGCCACATCCCCAGCCCTTTTTAATATTTTATTTAGAGACAGAGTCTCACTGAGTTGCTTAGGGCCTCACTAAATTGCTGAGCCTGGCTTTGAACTTGTGATCCTCTTGCCTCAGCCTCCCAAACCAAAGAAACCACCACTCCCAGCTACTTATCTTTTATTTTGAGATAGGGTCTTGCTAAGTTTCTTAGGGCCTTGCTAAATTGCTGAGGCTGGCCTCAAACTTGCAATCTTCCTGCCTCAGCCTCCTGAGTCACTGGGATTACAGGTGTGTACCACTGCACCCAGCTCTAAATCACTCTAAATATCAGGTGGGAGCCAGGATGGGGATTTGTGTTTGATAGAGGTAGAAACTCCAAGTGGAAGTGACATCTGAGGTCTAACCACAGTGTTCCCTATTGAAATCCAAGAATGAGAATGGGCCAGCCCAGGGACTTCTATGTATATGGGAAATCACCCTATTCCTTTCCTAAACTGGGAAGTCCCTCTGCAATCCAGCCAGTGGCCTTCCTGATGGAAATGTCCATTTTCTGTTCTTCCCAGCTCCTCTCACCACCCATAAAGAAAGGAATCTTTCAACCAGGAGGATTGCAAGTCTGAGACCTTGTCTCAAAATAGAAAGGGCTGGGGATGTAGCTCAGTAGTAGAGCACTTCTGGGTTCAGTACCCTGTWCTGGGGGGTGGGGAAAGAAGAGGGGGAGAGGAAGGAGGAAGAAAGCAATCTTCTGATCTAGATCACACCACTGTAGGATGGAGGAAGGGAGGGTCTGGCAGAGGTGGGAAGCTCAGTAGAAGGAACTGAAGGTCCCCACTTTCCCCTCCTCTCTCAGGTCACCATCCTGGAGGCAGATAATAGAATTGGGGGCCGCATCCTTACCTTCCGGGACCGGAAGACAGGCTGGATYGGGGAGCTGGGAGCTATGCGCATGCCCAACTCCCACAGGTGAGGCCTGATCTGGATGCCCCCAGCCCYACCTCTGTACCCAGACACAACCAGAACCCCAATTTTATCCCAGTTCTAGGCTCCAGTGTCTTCATTTGTTTTCATGGAACCCAGAGCCTCATGCATGCTAGGCAAGTGCTCTAGCAATGAGCACAGCACTCCAGTGTCTCACCCTCACACCTAGATGTCCCACACAAATTGGATCTAAGTCTAATCTGCAACTTGATCTTTCTCCTAACTTCATGGTTCCCTGGCACCAGCTCTGCTGTGGTACCTGCTGCAGGACTTAGGTCATCTTATACAGCCAGAGCCCCTAGCCCACGCCAGTACCATCCCATCCCCTTCAAGCCTCCCCAGTTCTCCCTCTCCCAACACCCTCAGGACCCCAGGCACAAGCGTGGCCACTGCCTCTGGCCCTTTCCCCATCCCYAACCTCTATCCATCCTGAACTCTGTTCCTGTTCTCAAATCAAATCTGAGCTCCAACTTCATCCCCAGTGAAAACAATCCCTGCTCCTGACCCAGTCCTCATCCTCSTTCCACCCTCAGCCTTCAACATTGTCCACATTTAATTCCCATCCCCAGCACTGATGATCCCAAGTCTACCCCAGCCTCACATCCATACACAACTTCCCTCCTCCAAACCCCACTAGGACTGCCAACTCTGGCCCTCACCCAACCTCTCCCACACCCTCAGGATCCTTCAGGAGCTTTGCAAGAGCCTAGGACTCAATCTGACAAAATTTACCCAATATGATGAGAACACATGGACAGAAGTGAATGACATGAAGCTGCGGAACTACGYGGTAGAGAAGATGCCCGAGAAGCTGGGTTACAACCTGCGCTCCAAGGAGAAGGGTCATTCACCTGAAGAAATCTACCAGATGGCTCTCCACAAAGTAGGTGTCCCCATGTCCTCCTCTACCCTGACCTTCTGTGCCCCACCTTCCCAGTGGTCCCTAATCATCTCCTGCCTCTGGCTCTTGCCTTTAGCTCCCCTGCCACAAGCTTTCCCTTCCCACTGCACTCTGAACTGGACCACCTCACCTTTCTATACCTTTGACTAAAACTGATCACCCAGGTGATGTTTCCTAAATCTATTTCCTGCAACCCAGACCTGTGCCATGTCCCCTCAGCTGTATTGAGCTTAGTATCTTTCCCTAAACCCATTCRTACTCCCAGGTTTCTTCTTACAATGATTCCACCAGCCCCAAGTCATGGGGCAGACCCACAGGTGTCATCATCATCCACACTCCCTTCTTTCCTACCCCCACTGCATGTTCCCACCTCTGTGTCCAGCCCAAGCCCAAGCCCAAGCCCACACCCATCCTCTCCTTGAACCCTCACCCCAGTCTCTTCCATGACTGCCCAGCCTCCTGCACCAGAAGAGTCTTCCCACTCAGAGCTAACCCTGCTCACAGCCCTCTTTGACTCCTCAGACCTTCCAGGACAAAGTCACAGTCCCTAGACTCAGGTGTCAGCTCTGAATGGCCTTACCTCCCCCAGCTCTCCAGCCTCTGCTTCTTTTCTTTTCTAAGAAATTTTTGTTACCCCCAAAGTCCTCCTAGTGGTCCAGATGCACCTGCTGTTTGCTCTTCRAAGCCTGCTATGCTCATCTGTCATCCCATACCTGCACCCCCACCATACCTCTTGCTTGCTCTGCTTTCCTTCCCCACCAAGGAACTCCTGTCTATCCCTTGAGAGCCAGCTCCCCTTCAGGAGGCCTTCCAGATGCCCTTAGGGTGGACTGGCCACAACCAACTCCAGGAGSCCCTTACTTGTCCATTTCCCCCATGGACAAGGGTGAGCACCAAGTCCTGGTCAGCTCTGTGACCTGACACTGATAGTACAGGGAGCCTAGGGAAATGCTAGCTGAGTGAGCGAGAGTGAAGGGCACATCCTTCTGTGGGGAGTTCCTGGTCGGGAGTGAAAAGCAGGTGGACAAATGAGAAGGCTGAAATCTGACCCGAGCGGCAAGGCTTCTGGTAGGAAACTGAAAGACCRAAAAGGGTGATCACTGTGTCAGGAATAGATGAGGCAGGAAGCCACAGTGCAGCAATGAAGGTAGGAGAGCACTAAGGGCAGCCGAGGCACKGGCCATTGTTCTGTAGAACCAGGGCTGCCTTGAGAAAAGTTGACCAAGGAGCTGGTGGGAACCTGGAACACCGGGCTAAGAGGAGGCCAGAGGTTGGTGGTCAAGAGAAAGGCTGGGGAATTACACCTTCTTAGCCATCATGTCTTGTTGGTGCTGACGGCAGAGGGGACTCATCTTCTGTCCATGCCAGCAATGATCCAGAAAGACACAGCACAACTGGCACAGACACAATCCTAGGCTGGGCTGAACAAATGAGGGGTGAGGGGAATGAACACTTAAGAGTACTCTTCCCCATGGTGACAACTGAGTTGCAGTGGAGGGCAGTGCTGATGGTGGAGGCCTGGGGGCTTGAAGGAGTGGTGGATGTCTGGCCTTGGGCAGAACCAGGGGAACCCAGCCCTTCCTGCTGGCACCATCTGCTTATTCCCKGACAGGCCCTCAAAGAAGTCATGGTGCTGGGCTGCAGAAAGGCAATGAAGAGATTTGACAGGCTCACGCTTCTGGTGAGTGGTGGCTTCGATTTTACTGTCAGAAATGAAGGCAAAGAGGGTGTCCATGGGGCTTTCCCAAAGAAGTAAGRAATCTGAGGCTCCAGTGTGACTGCTCCCTTCCCCTGGGCTGGACACGCCCGTTTTTTGAACCTCTTTTTCCCTCATCCATTACAAGAGGGGACCAAATCTTTAAGGTCCAGGGCATAGAAACAGGAGACCCAGCTAGGGAGAGGTTCTCAGGGAAGCAGGGACAGAGCTGACCGCTGGCAGGTGCAGCCTACCTGGGCCCTGATTTGGGCCTTCATTGGCCCCGCAGGAATACCTCGTTTGGGAAAGCAACCTGAGCCAGTCTGCCGTGGAGCTTCTGGGAGACGTGATGTCCAAGGACGGATTTTTCCACCTCAGCTTCACTGAGGCCTTGCGGGCGCACAGCTGTCTCAGCGATCGGCTCCGGTGAGCATTGGATGGGTGAGGCCAACCCAACCCGAAGTGAGTTGGTGGAGCTGGTGTGAAGGGCCCGGTCTGCAGGGGTGAAGGAATGGGCTAAAGGATTGGAGAGGCCAGTCCCTCTGGTCTGGTCCCGCTTACCTGGGCAACAGAGGTCCTCCAGAGGACCTGGTAAGAAAGGTTCCTGCAGAAGGGTGTAACCCAGAGAAGAGGTGTGGTTTTGGGTCATATATCCTCTACTCTGCAGGTCTCCTGCCTTTGAGGTCCAGAGAGGGGTGGGGAGGATGAGGGGGATGACGGGGGTGCCAATAGGAGCAAGTAACGCKCCGGGGCCTGCGCTGAGGAATCCCGCTGTAAATATCCACTCACGCTTATGCCCGACCACAGGTACAGCCGCATCGTGGGCGGCTGGGACCTGCTGCCGCTTGCGCTATTGAGCTCGCTGTCCGGGCCAGTGCTGCTGAACGCTCCGGTCATAGCGATAACTCAGAGCATGCAAGAAGTGCGCGTGCACATTGCGACCTCGCACACGTCGCGGAATCCGAAGGCACTGACAGCAGATGTAGTGCTACTGACCGCAAGCGGGCCCGCGCTGCAGCGTATCGCCTTCTCACCGCCGCTGTCGCGCAAGCGACAGGAGGCGCTGCGCCAACTACACTATGTGCCGGCCACCAAAGTGTTCCTAAACTTCCGTCGGGCCTTCTGGCGTGACGAGCGTATTGAAGGCGGCCATTCGAACACCGATCGCCCATCGCGTCAGATATTCTACCCGGCACCAGATGAGGGCGCGCTGCTGCTGGCCTCCTACACGTGGGCAGACTCTGCGGCTGTGTTCTCTGGCCTTAGCCCGAATGATGCGATGCGCTTGGCACTCAACGATTTGGCGACGCTGCACGGGCCGCTTGTGTACCGGCTCTGGGACGGCAGCGGTGTCGTTAAGCGCTGGGAGGATGACCCACATAGCCAGGGTGGCTTCGTGGTGCAGCCRCCGTTTCTCTGGCAAACTGACCAGGACAATGGGCAGGACTTCGACTGGGTGGTCCCCTACGGCCGCATCTACTTCGCCGGGGAGCACACTGCCCACCCACATGGCTGGGTGGAGACAGCCGTCAAGTCGGCTCTGCGGGTTGCCATAAAAATCAACACCCGGGAATGGCCTGGGCCTGTGGATAAGGGCAAAGAAGGGCGTGTGGAGATGCATGTAGTAAGGGTCCATGAGGGGCACGTGGAGGGGCACGTGGACCACGAGCACCACGTGGACCACGAGCACCACGTGGACCASGAGCACCACGTGGACCAGGAGCACCACGTGGACCASGAGCACCACGTGGACCACGAGCACCACGTGGACCACGAGCACCACGTGGACCACGAGCACCACGTGGACCAGCAGCAGCCACAGCCGCCACAGCAGCAGCCACAGCCGCCACAGCAGCAGCCGCAGCCACCACCACGGCCGCAGCCACAGCCGCAGCCGCAGCCACAGTCGCAGCCGCAGCGCGTGGACCAGCAGGAGCCTCCAGAGCTGCACGTGGTCCATGAGACACACGTGGATGTGGTCCACGAGAGGCAGGGAGATGTCCAGGAGGAAGCCAGCTATCCCCCGTGCAGAGAGGGAAAAGGAGAACCCACCCATGGTGCWGCCCATCAGCTCCCATCTGTCCAGCACACCGACCACCTTAGCGGCTTGAATTAAAGTATTTTCAGAAAAAGTCATGTGATTCAGCCCCGTCCCTGCTCAGTTGCTTCCCCAGTTTGCCTGGACAAGAGCTACTAGCCCTGCAGTTCAAAGGGAAGGGGCCTATCCTGGAGCCCCAGAAGCTGTCCCTAGCTTCTTCCTTGACAGGGGGTTCTATGGGGGAAGGGGACAGGACAGACAATGCACTACTAGTGTTACAGTGCTCCCCACCCAACCAGGTCTGTGACAACAGAAAATCTATGACTTCCAGTGGGCTAAACAAATTTAGTTTATTTTTTTTCACATGAGCAGCAGCTGGTGGGCAGGGTACCAGTGTGCAGCTCTGCAGGCCCCTCACTGCCATTACATCCAGGAGGTGCCTGCTGCTGTGGCCCTGAACACCTCATCTTCCACTTTTCCAGAAGCCCCAAATCAGGCTGGCTGGAAAGCCCTGCCTCCACACGCCCTATGGGGACACCTCTTATGTCTCATTGGCCAAGTCCCAGGTCAGGTGGTCAGGCTTGGGCTCTGCACAGGGGCCACATGCCACCACCTCCCCATCCTGGCCATAATGCCAAGTGAAGTGAGAAATGTCAGTTTAATGAAACCAGCTTATCAGGAGTGCAGCGGGCAGTAGCCCTCCTCACAGGTCCCTCCCTTAGCCCCCAGAGGCCTGGGGCAGATAAAGCGCCCATGCAGGCCACTGGTCAATATAGGTTAGGAGTCCGGGCCGTCTTCCTCCTCTGGCAGGATCTCTAGGCTGCTGTCAGGTTGTGGGGCTGTGTCCCCTGGAGGCGGCGGGGCAGGCGGGGCCCGTGTAGGTGATAGTGGCAGTGGGGACACCAGGGGCGAGGGGCTGCGGGGCTCTGAGAGTGGCACCAGACCCAAAACCTCCTGCACGTTGTGGGGCAGTTCCTAGGGGTGTGGAGGCAAAAAGTCAGTGGTGAGCCAGCAGAAGAGCTGGGAGACCACTGTGGGGAGAGCCAGGACTCACCCGGCAGGCAGTCAGTTGCCGGTAGAGGGCCTCGGCACGAGTCAGCACGTCTTCCACGCTCAGCTTCATGGTCAGCTCGTTAATGTGCTGTGGGGAGGGAGTGGGTCAAGCACTACTCTACACACCTGCCTGCTGGGGAATGGAGGGAAGATAGGGATGACCCTGTAGGGGCTCAGAGCAGGGCTGTGGGGTCAGGGAGTCAGGCTTCTCAGTCCTACAGTAATCATTCCCATTGCTCACTGCTGGCCAGATATATTATAAAATGAAGGGGCGGGGCATGTCCCCATTCACCTATTCCGTGGGTACAATGCTAGGAGGCAGGCAYAGGAGAAAGGAGAGAACAGCAGATCCACCCTGACAGTGTACACAGCCAACCATCCATTCAATAGTCCAACTGTTGCACAGGCAAGGCATTGCCAGGGACGACAGGGGGAGCCCTCACCTTAAGGATCTCGTTGGAGCCAAAGCCAGACAGCATGAGGGTGTCCCGCTCCATGTCCAGGATGGCGCAGGCTACTAGCAGGTGCAGATTGGGACCGGGAAGCCCTGTCCACAACACCTGGGGGTGCCAGAAGGAACCTCTGCCTGAAGTCCTACCCAAGTCTGCTTCATTCAGGTCTGCCCATCTCCCTCCAACCTTCCAGCCCCTCCCACTTCTCCTTCCTCTTCAGTCCTCCCACCAGAACTGGCTGGCCCACCTCCCACAGCCGAAGGATATCCGGGAAAGGGAATTCCCTCTTGAACCAGATGAGTAGCCACCGGAAGCAGAAGCAGAGAGAACCAGAGTCCTGGGAGTCTGGGGGAGGACAATGCATGACTCAGCTTCACCCAGAGCAGGTGCCCTATAATAAGCAAATTCAAAACCCAATTCCCCCCAAACTCAAAACCAATTCAAAAAAAAAAAATTCACAACATGCTCAACAGCTGGACAAAGCCTCTGAGTCGTCCTGGTTGTCAGGCCCTCCCTGGGTGCAGGCAGGTCATACGTGCAAGCTTGGGGGCTTCAGAAGCCCACTCCAGCTTTCCCACCATGCCTGCCACTCTCCAGAGGAAGTGCACTACCTCCACATCTTTCACTCTGACAAGATAAACACTCCCAAGGATAACAAAATCTTAGCCACCAGTGCTGGTGAGGGTTGTAGACACTGGCCCCCAGAAACACTGTTGGCCAAAATGTCAGCTGGGGTGATAACTTTGCAGGCAAGTGGCGATGAGGACATCAGTTCAAAAGATGGCACATAACTCTTTAACAACTGAGGAGGCTGAGATGGGAGGACCACAAGTCCTAGGCCAACCTAAGCAACTTATCAAGACCCTATATCAAAATAAAAACTAAAAAGAACTGGAGATGTAACTCCGAGGTAAAGCACCCCTGGGTTAAATTCCCAGTGTGGAGGTGGGGGGGTTATAAAAGTTTTGGCAGTGCTGGGGATGGAACCCAGGACCTCACACATGCTAGGCAAGTGCTCCACTACTAAGCCACACCCCAGCCCAAAAGCCCTGGACATGGTCAGTTCCCTTTTTGAATTTTGACCTTAACATATCTTCCAGACTATTTATCCTGATAAGAAACTGCAGATGTCCATCAGGATAAATCAGTTCCATGTGTCTTTCAGGGAAGAGAATTCCATGCATTTAGAGGATCTCGGACACATTCAGGCATAGACAATTCCACRCATTCAGCTGCAAAGAGGCAGCTCAGGTCCTCATGCCCCAGAACGTGAGGTGAGGCGTTTATCTCCCTCCCCCAAGAGTCTTAGAGCTTCCTCAAGGAAATATCATAAATAAATTACCTTATCATCATCTTTTACTTTTTTCTTCATCTGAATTTTCAGCATTTTTTATATTGAACAAATAGCTTATAGATAGCATGCAGCAGCCCCACCCAGGAGTCACAAAACCAGTTTCTGATCCTGGCCTAGGTTGAGCGGGAGCAGGATGGACAGAGATGGTAGATTCCCTGTTTCTGAAACACCCTGGGCAGACCACGCTGTAGCTCAAGTCCCTCAGGTGGAGGGAAGCATGGGGGTGGCTAGAGGATCATGGGCAATGCCAAAGCTCAGTTCCAAACTGCCATTCAGCCCTTACACTTAAGTTTCAGGATCTCTTGTTCAGATCAGCACCAAGCATCCCAGACACTTTCTGTGGCTACTAACAGAGAATCTCTGGCAAGGTCTGTGAATCCCTTGCCTACTCACCCACCAGCCCTAAGGACATACCCAGGAAGTCGCACAGTGGCTGGTCCAGCACCCTCAGGAGCAGCAGGAGTTGTCCGAGCTGCCGCTTCATGGTCTCCTGACTCTCCTCAAAGTTTCCATGCTGCAGGGAGAGGAAGGCAGGGGGTATCAGGAGCCCCCAGCCCTGACTCTCAGAGGTCCGTTTCCCACTCCTGTAGTGGGCCTTACCACAAGGTCCATGAAGCCACAGAAACACCAGAAAGCATCCACTTCACTCTGAATGACGTAGAGGATCGGGGAGAGAAGGTCACTCATGCCCTGGACGTAGCCTGGGGGGAGGGGGGCAAGGTCAGGATCTAGGGCAGAGCTCCTTCACCCCACCTCCACCCGGGGCCAGTTCCGCACCAAGATCAAAGTGGTACATGCAGTACGTGAGGAGGATGTCATGCAGGAGGCCCAGCCCTGGGTTCTCGGGGCCCTCGTAGAATTTGTTGGTCCTGTCAGTGCGGCTCACATCTCTCTCTGCAGGAACCCAGCGCAGAGTGCAAACGTAAAAAAGGTGAGGCCCCCGTTCCTCCTGGCCACCAGCACCAGCCCTGCCTCCTCTGCTCCCTGGCAGCCCCCAGCTTCAGCGCTCGCTCTGGGGCAGGAGTGGGATTGGTTCCAAAATCATCATTAACACTCCTGCTGTGAGGCACTGGGCTTCAACTCACCAGCTTACCCCATCCTGCCGGCGAAGAAACCGAGACCCAGAGAGGTAAAATCACTTGTCTAGACCTCCCAGTGACAACTGACATTTAATCCTAAAGGCTCCCCTGCCCCCATCCCTGGCCTGTCACCCCAGGCCATTTCTACCATGCTTCACCCCCATTTCCCTCCCCAGATGACCTCATCCCTGCCCCAGCCCTCCTCGCTACTTCCTCTCTCCCACCCTTTCACCTCTGCACCACCCCAAAACCCAGCACACCCACCAATGAGGCTGCGGTATCCATGCAGGAGTGAGTTCCTCCGCTCCTGCTCGGGACTCACAGACTTCCACTGCAGCTTCATGCGGAAATACTCATCCCTAAGGAGTAGGGAGGGCAGAGGCTAGACCACAAAACTATTACGACTAGTGACACAGCATGGCCCAGGAATGAAGCAGCAATTCAGACTGGAGACAGACCACATGGGGATGGCAGGTCTGACTTGTTCACCACCATATCCTCTGGCACAGCACAGTGCCCAGCGTATGGCAGGCTCAAAACCAGTGTTCATGGAACAAGCCTATTGTCTACAGCATCCCTGTGAAGAGCCAGGTGCCGTGCTGGCTCATGGGACATGCTGTTGATCAAGAACTCCAATCCACCTGGGAGACTTAGGGAGGTGGAAGCCAAAGCTTTGAAGGGCAAAACTGCCCCAAGAACACAGGGGCCATGTTTCCTCACTCACGTCTTCTTGCGCACATGGGCCTTGTGCTCCTCAGCTGAGCCTTCCCAGCTGAGGTATCCCAGGAGGAACTTCCAGGCCTCTCGTCGCAGGCTGGGGCTCAGACCCTGTGGGTAGAGTGGCAGAGGTAGTTCAGTGGATCTCCTGATGCCACCAGCCCTGCCCATCCCGCATCCTCTGGTGCTCACCCCTGAGAAGATCCGGTTCTTCAATTCAGGGACCTGTTGTAGGCGGCCCTCAGGGCCCACGTGGAGGGCCCATTCCCCTTCTGTGACTGGGGAAGCCCGTTCCACAGCTGGCCGTGGCCCCAGTTTTACCTGCAGTACACAAGGAGGTAAGCCTGGGGCTTGCCACAACTGGCCCTTAGCACCATCTCAGTCCACCTCCAAGGGAGCTCAGAGCCCTTCTTAGCTCAACAG